TACAACGTTGACAAAAAGAATAACGGGAAAGATTCTCCTCCCTCCCGCACCCAAAAACCCCCACCCAAAACAAAAAAAAAAAAAAAAACACCTACAAAACAACAAGAAAACCCCAAAATTAAACCAACAAAACAAAAACCACACATAAACAAAAAAGCCCCAAACCAACCAACCAACCAAACAAACAAACAAAAAAGAAAAACAAAAAAACAAAAAGGCTTTGAGAACTGAAGACATGCCCAAGCAATTGATTGTGAAAACTCTCCACAGAGAAACAGACAACAATGAACTTCCTTTTCCTTAGGAATTGTGTGGTAAATGGTAGATCTGGGAGGCTTTTTTGAAATGCAGTTTGATACAGTGCTTTGGAGAATTCTTTAAAATAATATTTTTTTCCTCTTTAAAAGCAATTTAGTGTACATTTATTTAATTTTCCTGTGAACCTACTACAAAAAAACCAAAAAACCAAAAAAAACCAAAAAACAAAAAAACCAAAAAAAAACCAAAAAAAAAAAACCAACCAGCAAACCAACATCCCTCCTGATCCTGTTGCATATGTGATTTCTTGTTATACACATAATTCAATACAGTTAAGCAGACACTGCCCAGGATGTTTTGTATGGTAATTGACAACTGCTTAAATAGAACATAAAAAGCTTTAAACAATGTAAATCAAGTAATAATAAATGTTATTATCACTTATATTATTTTCTTATAATCTCTATAGTGTTATTATAGGTATATAAATCCTTAAATAATAGCAGACAGCTTCATAGCTCATAAGAATTTGTTAACTGTAAAGACAATTTTTAGCATGTCATGGCATGGCATTTAGATGAGACCCATGAGGTACTCTGGAGAAACTCACTGTACTGCCATTTCATTGATCTAAGGTGGCAGATGAAAGTCTTGTCACACGCAGTACCGCCTCATTCCAAAGTGAATGCAGTTAGAGAGATGGAGTATGGCAATTTTCAATGTAAATAATGTTTTGCCTTTCTGAAGGAGCCCATTTGCAGTCTTGAGGCCATTAGACCTCTGGCTTCTTCAGCGCTGCAGTTCTGCAATAGGATTGGAGAGTGAGTGTGAGATTGACAATTGACTTCTCACTTGTGCTGCAAACCTTCCTTTTATATTTCTGTAAAAACAATGAACAAATGACTGCTACTAATGTTTTGCTCATCAACTTGTAAGTGAAGGCCATTTAAGACAGAAATGTAGGATTTAGCTCCAGCTGCTGCTCTAATGTTGCAGAAAGCTTTTGCTGCAGTTCATTAAATTCAACTTCAGGCAGTCACAAAACTGCCAGCTAATTATTTTTTCTTTCCTTGGCTGAGTGGATCCTGGTGTCACCAATTTCCTCTCACAAAATGGACCTACAGAATTCTTCATTGTGAAGATTGAAGAAAAAAAGCAGTAAGGAAGACACCAACATAATTTTGTTAAAAACAGGTAGGACTGAATCAGTGGAACTTCATTTCCTACCAGTTTTTCAGACTATCTTGGGAGTCAGACTCTGTATGGGAAATTGGTTCTTTGCTAGTAGGTCACAGGGCCTTTATTGATAACTGTTAGTTTCTGTTTTGGAGACTAATAACCAATGGGTTCAGCACTCTGGCTGAAAAGGAGCAGACCTGGGGCTGAGATGTAATTTTCCTCAGCACTAAGTACATGGGGTGTTTTAATCTCTATTATCTCAGTAAAAATCAAATTAAATTATGACAATTTCATTTTGTGGAAAATCAGAACTGAAAATGAGATCCAAAATTGAAAGATACGTGTATGGAGATGTCACTCCTGACCTTGCATACAGAATATCTACCTGAACACAGCACTGTTAACATATGGATGGTGCTAGACACCTCTTAGAAACTATTTTAAATATACCTCAACATCATCAGTACTACCCATGACTTTAAGTTGTTGGTATAGCTTATAGATAAAGTAATTAAAATCAGAGCATCCATATGTTTAAAATAACATCCCAAAACAGGAAATGTGAATGACCTCCTGCCATGGAATAGGTATTTTGTTTGATTCCTGTGGGTGATTCACTCTTTAGAGACATTACAGCCTAAGAATATTTCCAAACTAGCACACCAAGGTTTCACCCCAGAATTCTTGGAAAAACAATAGGTGCTTAGAATTTGAGCTTATGTTAATGACACTCCTCCCTCCTATGATTATACACAGAAGAGACAACCCTTACTATGATTTTACAATTAGAATTTGCACAAAATGAGTATAAAAAGGGAACAGTAGAGAAAAATGTAAAGTAACAACAATAGGATGATGTGATTAAAATATATAGAATTAGGTATCTTCAAGGTTTCTAAACTGAAATAGGTATCTTCAAGGTTTCTAAGTTGCTTCTTTAGTTGCAGGAAGAGAGGAAAAAATTACTTCAGCTTCAAAATTCACATTTTAAATATGCATATTTTACTTTTGACAGTGTGTCTTCATGTACTTGTAAGCTGTCAACAGGCAACTATTGTTGTCTCACTGCGATCTTAAGAGTGAGAAGACACATCAAAAGAGAATTAAGGCTATGATAGCACTCAGTGCAAATCAGAAAAGTTCCACATAAGGCTGAAATCTGGCAGTTATGTCAAGCATCAAGACACAATGGGGGCACAGGAATAAAGCTGTTAAGGGAATTGAGTTAGAGTATGAAAGCAAAACACAATATGGAACCCTTTGTCTTATATGACAATTTCATCGTTTTACATGGCACAAGTTGTGTAAATTAGTTTGGGTTCAGCTTGGGAGAGATTTTTGTGGGTCTTCATAAGGCAGTGCATTAAAAATAATCTGTCAGTACTGGAACACCAACAAACTGAATGTCCAGTCACAGAATTATTAACTAAATTCTGGTCCCGGGCTCAAATCATACTGGTATTTCCATATAGAGATCTTAAGGAGCAGCACTGGAAGGAGTTAAGAAGCTGAGAATTAAGTCAGATTTTGAAATGTATAGGTAAGAAAGAGGGTTTGCTCCCTAAATATAACTATTCAGAGAAGGAAAAAATTATATTTGTTTTGAAATGCAACACTGAAATTGTGATGAAATATTTTTTATATGTAAAAACAAAAACTGATTGAGAAACAATTTTCTGCCATTTTAAAGAATTATATGATACACTGAAGGGTATTTTTGAAAAGAAAAGAAAACCTCATTCATTTTATAATTTCAATTTTAGAATATAATTCTGGTAAATTTAAGGGCTAGCTTCTGAATAAAGTCCACAAAATATTAAAACATATGTGGGAGCCTCTAACCCCTCATCTACAAATGGACAATAGGCACAGGGTGGTGTTAACAACCTGTCACCCTGACACTGCTGTGCTCTCATGAGGCTCAGGCCTGTCCCAGAGCAGAGCTGCCTGACAGCAGAAAGAGGAATGGCATTGCCCAATGCCATTTAAGTTGTGCCATGAAGTCTTCCCACTTTTATGTTTAAGCAGGACTCAGAAAAGATGCCCATTTACAAAAGGATGTAGAGATGCTTCAGCAGAAGGTCCCCACGGGAAATGCCCTCCACAGCCAGGGGCACTGCCCAAATGGAGGTAAGCAAAATGACACACCTTCAGCCTCTGCTGAAAAATAAAGGAACAGACTAAGATACACACACATACACACCCAACCCATCCCTACCTTGTCCCAAAAAAATGTGTTTGTTCATCTGCCTGGTCATGACCTGCTTTTGGATAGACAGCCAGCTTTCCTGCATCAAAAAACACCCCCAAAATCAAAACCAAAAAAAACAAAAAAACTAATCAGAAGATTTACAGATTTAGAGATAACATTTTCTGTAGCTAAACTGATAGTGATGCGAAGCAGATCCTGAATGGCTGCTCAAACTCACTACTGTTTCAGCAGGACAATTTTCTAGATTTTCTAGATTCTCCAGCATTGTATGTTTTCACATTACTAGAAAGCTAAAACATTTACAAAGCTTATCTTAGTCTCTTGATTTACCTCTCACTTCATGTCCTTTCATCACACTTGTACTAGAAAATCATTCTCTTCTCTAATGTTTTGGGATTCTTTTTAAAACCAAGATGATCCTTTCCCATTAATTCAAAAGTCTTGCAAACAGTTGCCAAAATCCTACCACATTTTCCTTACTGAATGCGAAGACTCTATCACCTTCATTATTATACCACAACTAATTCTCTAAATTTAAATGAGAATTTAAATTTTATTCTCTCAGATTTTTTTTTAACTGGTTACAAAATTTTAGCCTGTATTGAATTAAACACATTCAAATGATCTTAAAATTCCTGTTCCTCTGTTAGGTCTTAGGTGGGAATTCAAGACCAATGCTTCTGTGGTTTTTCTGTGGATTCCAGCAGGAGAAAATGTAGGTAGGAATTACTTGTGAAAATCCTGAAATGCCTTGAAAATCAGAGTTGTGTACTCTCAAAATTGTGTTTAAATCTTTTAGGGGTTAGCTTGGAAAGGTTACTGGGGAGGTAATAGCTGCTGAAACAGGACAAACCCCATGATATGGTGTGTAAATTACACAGCAGAACTGGACGTGAAAAGAATTGAGTTTTGGAGAGCACAGAGATTGAATGTGAGCAATTATGAAAAAGTGCAAAGTGACTTCTTTTGTTCTTTTTCTTCTTTTGCAGGGACAGTGACAGATTCAGCTTGACTTGAAGTGAATAGACAACTTTTAGTGAGATCTTGATTGACCCCTTATTTTCTACAAAGGGTTGCTTTTTCTGATAGAAAAGTGGCAAGAAAGAAAAGGTTATTTTTTAAAATTTCACTTATTGGATATTTATCAATCGACAAAATATGTTTTGTAAATTTCCAGGTCAACTAGGACTGTAGCAACAGACTTGATTGTTACCATAGCATCAGAAAGTATTTTTCTTTTTAAATAGAAAGACTAATTTTTAACAAGAATATGTTTGCTAACGCCTTTCAGAAAAAAGAAGAGACTATTTAAAAGGTGGTCATATTTTAGGGATCTGGCTTTTATTGTTACTCTATCCCAGCATAGTATACTACATTTATTAAAAAAAAGACATTAAATGATTTTGTGTTTTTATTTATTGTCAGCAATACATCAGTTATGTAAAAATAACCCAGATGAAAATGTAAGACTTGTTACATTTTCACATCATCTGTATTAACTGAATAAAGCTTAGTGACAATATACACAAATTTGCAGTAGTAGTTGTACGTAAACATTTTGTGCATTAAAAAAGAAATGTACATAATTTAAAAAATAAAAATGCATTACACAATTTACAAATTAACATTAACAAAAAAAAAAAAAGGTAAACATTCCTCAGACAGCTGCCTCCTCATTCTACAAAATAAATATTCAAGTAAATTAAGTTAGGCAAAATAAACTCTTAACTCTGAACAATTTACATAAAGGTAAAAAGACAGATTTCCATTTAATTCAAGGTATATTTTACAGTGATTTATACATAGAGTTTTTAAATTGCTCTCTTCAAATCGTAAGACTGGAAAAAAAAATTTCTTACATTTTGGCAGGAGGAAGAGGGTTTCAAAATTGATGCTTTGTACCAAATATAAACAGGCTTGTGCACTTGCATAAAGCTTCAAAAAGGAACTGCTCCAGGACTCAAAGCAGACACAGTAAACTAGAAACTACAGTTTTAAAAAGGAAAATATAAACCACCACATCAACAGGAAAATATCTACTTTGCTATTTTCTGAATGGTTTATTCGATCACTGGAAACATGACTTTCACAAACTAATAATCTACAGTTGTGGCTGCTTTAGGCACTGGATTTGTAGAAGCACTCTGATTTTTAAAGCAAATTGCTTTTCATTCTATATTGATAATTCACATATTATTTACTTCTGTTTCAATGCTAGAGGGCTTAATCACCTTTGCAACACTTAGATTTACATAAAATTTCAGCTTTCCTTACAGCCTAGTATTTTTTTTCTTGATAATGAGGGAAGCCACTCTGGCTTCAAATTTCCATGCACTTTGTTAATAGAAAAAATAATAATAAAAATGCACTCTAGATTTTAAATGCAGCACTAGTATGACGCAGATGTGCACCAGATATTCACTGATCAGATATAAAATGTAACACATACTAAAATACTTGCATGGATTGCGAAGGCCAAACATACTTTAAAAACCCTCCTATCTCTCTGTTTATCCATTTAATGTGGTAAGGAAAAGGAGATGTCATACCTTTAACTTCAAGTTATTAAATGCTTAGATTTAGGACATAAAATTCTTCAAGGCAAGAGCTAGGCAACAGGTCCTGCTAAGACCAGCCAGTGTCATAAATAAAGATGACTCATTGCCAATGAAAGAAACCCTGTTCCCTCAATGCCCTCTTGGTCCAAAACTATTCGACAACACAGAATCAGACTTTTTAAAAAACAGAAATGATTATTAAAATCTGTCTCCATGTGTAATTATTGTTCTTTAACACTTTATAGTTTTTCCATGTTTTTTTTTTTTTTTTTTTGTGTCTGACAAAAGAGGAACCAACCAGATATTTCTTGTTTTCTACTCAAGAATGCTGAAAATTAAAATTATCAAGATTTGTATTTTTGCAATGGATCTCTACAAAGTGATGTAAGACTGAATACTCCAGTACTGAAACACATATATGCATGAACCACTGCTGTGGCAGGGGGCCATGAAACTTCATCAGCTGCAGCTGGATCAAGGTATAAAATGAGAAATTAAACCTGCACCAAAGATGGTTACCATTGTTCCTCTGCTCATCATTCCCACTTGGGGAATACCTACACAGTGGGATTAAGGTAATTTTCTTGATGCAGTAACACCACACTGGTAATATGGCAGCTAAGTAAAGTAGGACCATAATCTCTCTTGAATATCCACAAAATGCTCACTGGTTTCAAGAATTATTCTACATAGAATGAAGGTGTCTATTTTCAAGAACTGATATTACCCATTGATGTCCATGAGAGCCTTGTCATTGATTTCAGTGGATCTGGGCCAAAGTTTGCAAAGCTAGTTTCATTCAGTGTGCAAAAACTGGTGCTTCTTGAGTAAATAGAGTGATGAGTAGGCAGAAGTGGTTTAGGTTATAAAAAAGACCTGAGAACCTAATATTGAACTTCATGTAACAAATCTTTTTGAGAGGTTGCCTGATAAAGTTTTGTATTGCTTAGTAGTGGCACAGTCACTTGTACGTTCCGGCTGCACACAGAAGCCATTTGAGGAGAAAAACCCTTCCCAGGTCATGGAGCCCATCCGTAACAGCCATGTCACATGAGTGGCAAGTCAATGAGCTTCATGCTGGAAGCCTAACACCGAAAAGCCATAAGCATGGAAGAGGTTAACAGTGAGTTTTCATACTTCCAGAGTTTTTAAAAAAGTCATGAGTACTAAAATGGCAGAACTATTGACCTTGTTTATTTGCCAGTACACTCAGGAGTTTAACTGAATAATTAAAAGAGTCTATTGAATTATCCTAATTAGAAAAGACAAAACGTCTCTGAGTATTGCACTGCCAGAAACAGTGAAAGAGCTCTCATTAACAGAAGAAAAGTAAAATCATTTTATTTTAGTTGAACAATCCAAACACCTTTTTAGACAAGAAGTATGTCACTCAGGATTACAGGGCAACCACTTTTCTTTTTCTTTTCTTTTTTTTTCTAACAAAGTTAACAAATATAAAAAATCTAGTCATAAACAGCCTTCAAAGTACAATTAGAAACCAGCAGGACAATCTATACCAGTATAGGTAGGTGGGTCAAGAAACTAGACACTTGTATTACTGCCATGGTGTAGAGTACAAGTGGCTGCTGTGATGAGGGTGTGTGTACAGCAAACGTCGTAGCTGATTCCATCCCGTCGCAGTCCAAACTGAACACTACTCTCTTCAGGATTCAAGACCTGTCTACTTGACACTCCTTGCACAAGACACATCATTATCCTTTCTGAAAAGAGGCAGTTTCTATGGCAATACTAGTTAAGTGCATATCATGCTGCACTAATATAGTGCAAAAATTTGCCTTACATGTAGCAAAAAAGATGCAGGCAACAGTCTGAGTTAGAGAAAGTAGAAACGTATTGTAACATTTACAGCAGGTATTTTTTCCAGACACCAACCACTAGAAAATAGTGAATCTGAGAATGCCTCCTCTCTGGATGTACACATGAGGCCTTTATAATTTGGAGTGGTAACAGGACAGAATTTTGCAAGTGAGTCATTGCCCTCTGAAACACAGGTTAACACAAGTTATCATCAACTGGCAAACTGTTGAACTTGCTTAGTGTGTTAATCCCAGTTAAAAGTTAATATTGTACTAAGCACTAAAATGCTCTTCATCACGTATATAATCTGATAGAGTAATACATATGGTTCAACCGAGTATACATGTTACATTTGAATATAAAGAGTCATAGACAGCTTGGTACAAACTCCTCGTGCGTACTGATTATATGTGGTTAATGATGCAGGGGCTTCCAAGTGTTAATACTATGTCAGATACAGTATTCCGGAGGCAGAAGTGGTGCTCAGTTCTAAGACTGAGGAAACACCACAAATCTCCAACTGCAGTGTCTATTAATGTGATTCTGCCTGATTTCTCGGTGCTGATGGTCTAAAGTAAAGCAATAATACCTTTAATATCAGTAGGCATTATGAAATCCATCCTTCTTTATCTATGGTGCAGTTACAAAAAAGAAAATTCAAAACACTTAATCCACTCCATAGAAAATCCCTGTGGCTTTGGACACTTCTGATTTCATTCCCATAGTTTAGACTCCATTTGTCACCATGAGAAGTCATAGTTTACATGTCTGCGTCTCCATCATAAGCCAAGGTTAAAGGTTTCAGTCGGTTGTTCTGCCTTCTCTGGGGCTTCTTTGGCTTTTTGCTGAAATAATAAGATAATTTGTAAATAGAACAAGAAACTAATAGCATACAAAAATGTATTTCAGTCTTAACTGAAAGATAAGCATGCTGATAATGCATTCAGTTATTTGTTTAAAAGCTATAACCCTAAAACCTTTACTGGGATCACTAATTACCCCTTTATCAACCCAAAGCAATATCTAATTCAAAGCTCAGTTGTTCAGAAACAAGCTGTTATGATGCTCATGTGACTTGATGAAATCCTTGGCAAGTACTCCTGCAACATCACTCAGTTTTCAGAAGAATTCAGAGCCTGCCATGCAACATTTGGTCATGTATCAAAGCTGCAATCAGGTTCTTTTAAATTACGTGACTCAAATATTAAACCTCTCTTGACACATCAAGGGTTTCCACAGGAAAGATCCATCTTTTGATTGGTTTTATCTCATTATACTTGCTGGAATTCCTACAATTAATTCTAGATGTTATAATCAAACCAGTCATTAATAACAGAGGTATGGTTGTTTGCCACAACACTCCTTGTCTAGCCTTGAATTAGATTTTAATCCAGCAGTATTTCCAATTAATTTGATATAGTTTTAGAAAATTACCAGGCCAAAGGAGAATGAATGTTTATCCATGCTTTAGTACTAGTCTTCTTTTAGAGTGTAATGTAAGCATTTCTGTAAATCAGGCCTATGCATCCTCAGTCTTGTCCAAAATCTTATTTCAGCTGTGTCACTTTAGGCTGCTCAAATCTGAATCTTTTATAGGAAACCTTTTGTTACAATGACTTGCAGTAGCCACAGGTTCCAGTCCAAATAATCCGCAGTGTTGTTGAATACTAATTGATTTCCTCTCCCTCAAGCCCCACCCCCCCCAAAAAACCAACCAACTAAGCAAAACAGAAAGACCACAAAGAAAACCCAAACAAACAAACAAATCCCAATAACATCAAAAACCAAAATAAACAACAACAACAACAAAAAAACCCAACCAAACAAAAAAAAACCAAAACACACAAACACACACACAAAAAACAAACAATCAATCAAACAAAAAATAACCAAAAAAACCCAAAAGAACTTTTATATTACCTAGCCAGAAGTGAGGTTTTGGGCAAAGTTTACGGAATAGCAAGCATACCCAGAAGCCCCCCAAATGCCTACTAATGCAGTACAGCCATGAGCCTGATGTATATGACCACACTTCCCTCACCTTTCACCTGTACTGACATCTGGATCAGAAATTCCAAACAGGACCTAGAAAACTTCAGGGAGCACATTCTCAAAGGTGACTTGTTCAAAAAAGAATTCTTTCATGTATTAAAAAGGTAAGAAAGTTTTCAGATTTTTTCTGGTTCTGTATCTCTATATCTCATCAAATATAAAATATGATTTGCCTGGTTACTCAATTTCCTTGTTGCTATTTCTCTCAGCATTTTTTCATACAGATACAATAAAATTATTCTGGACATTGTATGTAACAACCAAGATAAACTGAGCAAAAATGAGCTGTACACTAAGCTACACCATATTTGTAAGTTCTTATACCCTCAGAAGAGCATGTGGTGATCCATCATCTAGAGTACAACCAGAATCTGCTAACCTAATTCTGGACAAAAGGACAAGGCAAATTAAACACTGCAGTTCACAGAAGTGCCAGCAGCTTCTACAGCAGCAGATGTAAACATTTTCATTACAGTCTGTGAGGGGACTGTTTTCTTATAAATAATTAAAGAACTCACCAGGCTAGATAGATCATAGAAACAATAAAGATGAGTAAAACAAATGCACCAGCAGCTACACCATAAACCCAGGTCTTCAGCCTCCCATCTAAAAGGAACGAATGTTAGTCAGTAGTGTTTGAGTTAGTCTAGTTGAATTATTAGTTCTGCTATAGCATAGAAATACTTTAATAATCCAAATAAATGCCTTCACTAGCAATTATAGTTTAATCAGAGTAAATATTATTAAATAACTGAGCAATGACTTCTCTGTGCTCTGCTTTTCAATTGAAGTCAGGATAATTCAAATGAGCTGAGATCTGGGGTGGCAGCAGCAGGTCAGAGACCCAGAAACTCAGCTTTGGTTCTCCTGGTAGCGAGCAATCCCTCAGTGTGATCATAGGGCAGTGCATCAGCCGGGGACTCATTTAGCATCACTTTCAATTCTAGCTCTGGTAAAGCAATCTGCCTGTTTTTTTAATTCTTGTTCCTGTTTACTTGTATGTTTTTAAATGTCCTTAGCATGCTGTATGTCATCCACCCCTTAGCTGCACACACACAACTTTTACTACTGCATAAAGTAGCAAAATTTTAAAATTTCTTTCCGTACTAAATAAAAGTTTTGCTGTTATAAATAACTTCTCCTCACAAAATAAAAATACACAAAAAAACCCCAGCCCGTGCTGCAAATAAAACAACTGCCTGTTGATTAGGGCTATGTTTATGTGTAGCCTGTGCAGTTTGTATTTTGGACATGATGTCCCTGGAGGTTTAGGCATAGATACCACTCTCCTTCTTGTCTCAGATGCACCCATGTCTATGAGGAAAATTATGTGGCTTTGTCTGTGGGGTTTTGCTCTGACCCCAAATGATCATATCACAACTAAAGGAGTGAATGCTTTTTGACTCACTAGTTTCATCCAACTAATTTTTCAAATTTCTAAATGGCTTTTTACTAACATTGTTTTCCAGGGGATTAGCTAGCCTTGTTTGCATCTCTTTGATGATAAAAAAAAATCATAATTATAAAACTGAATTATTTCATTTTCAAGTGGTACAAGTTTTATTTCATGAAGTTGTGGGTATTTTCAATGTAAGCAAATACAGCTAAAATTTTTCTGACCAAACACTTAGTGCTTCTCGTTAGTTCTGCAGAACAAAAAGACATCATCAATGCAGTTTTTATTTCCACAATAATATTAACAGAAGTTAGGTTGCTTGGTTACAGAGCAGTGATCTCCATTGCTATGCAGTTAAGCTCAGGCCTTCTGGTCTGCAGCAATGCAAAGTCTTGCTGTCGTGTGGACAAGTTGTTCAAGACTAATTAATATCAGAACATTTTACCTTTGTTACCTTAATCAGCCTAATGAAACATTTCAACTAAGTGACATAACTGAAATAACTGATCTGTTAAAGATTAATGGAACAGTAGATTTGACCTGACATACCCTATGATACTATAATATCAATGAGAAGAATTCAGACTTTAGTACTACTAAATAGGTTAGTTTCTCCTCTTCTTGGATTATTTCCATTGGTAAATGTAAGAGGCTTAGGTTTTTTAAAAATAGTAACATCTCCTTGAAAAAAAGGCTGGCATTGTCTTGTATACAGATTTATTTGTTTTTGTCAAAGCAAGGAACTCTGTTAATGAGGTCGTTCCTATTATGCAACTGCTGACCTCTGACTCAGGCTTTCTGAATTCTCTCTGGACAGATTATTTCTAAGTATGCAAGGGAAGTGGCATCTCAGATTAATCTTTTTGTGGTAATACCTCAGCCCAGACAACTGAAGAGAACAGTTTTAATACCTTCTTTTCTGGAACTGCAATGTAATTTGTGGAAGAAAATGAAAGACCTATTTTAGATCTAGACTTAGAAACTGTGAGGAAAAAAAAAATCATGCCAGAGTAAACCCAAACCTTTCCAATAGATATCCAATCCTGAAATAAAACAATCAAGCCTAAATCTTATCAGAATTGGAAAATATTCACTTTCTCTCACACTTGCTCATAACTTCACTGCATAACGTATTCGTTCTATTTAGTATGTTTAAGATTACCTGAACTGAGCTATGTCTCCTTCCCAATTCAAATTACATAAAATTTGTGAGTTTCCATGAAGTTTCTCAAAAGTACCTTGCTCCAAAACCCTCCCTGAGCTCACAAGAGTATCCATATTCATAAATTGCTGAAGGGGACTGTCTGATATTTGCTTACTGCTATCACTCTGCATGCTACAACACATCCTCTGGGCATTTTCAGAAGGGATTAGCTAAAATGAGTAAATAATAACATATTTGGTAAGATGCTGTTTTTAAAAGAGGACCAGAAAAGTTTAATTTTCTATTTTTTTATTGTTGATTAAAGTACTTGGAGTAAAGACCATTTTATTGCATGCATCAAATAAAATATCAAAGTACAAATAATAATAAACACTAGTAGGACTAATGGGATCTAATATTAGTATTTCTAATTTCTAACCCAAACATTATTTAATCTGTATATTAGAAATATTTTTATAAATCTCAATTTGAAATACCTTATGGATTACGCATGTAAAGATATTACTTTCAATTCTTCAATTAAAAACATCAAAAAACCCTTTAGAAATAAATAACTACACTAATACACAAGTATATTAGTATATTTAGCCCTATGTGACTTAAGAGATGCTTAAGACTATAACCAATTGTTCTCTTCCATATTAATAATATTTTGGACAGACAACATATCTCTTATGTGAAATTATTTTGTTAATTAACTTTTTTATCCAAATATTTAGTAGGACTAAAATATTTACTGACATCTGATTACATGATGGACTTTATGAAGTATTTTTTATTAAATAACTTATATTTTACATCACTCTGGCATGTAAGTCTTTGCTCAGCTCTAAAGAATATGGTCCATCATAAAAGCAAATATTGCTCAAAGAGACTTACAGCAGGCCTATGCTAAATATCAATAATATGGTTAGCATTTGACTAACATGAATTATTATAAATATGGATATGTCAGAAAAGCATTAGCATACCTATACCAATTATTTTCTACAATTTGTGCTATGCCTGCAAATTTTAAGAAGCCTTTACTCTTTGCAGTCTTCAGTGCTGTCCTTTCATTCCTCTGTCAACAGAATTATTGGTTAAGACACCATACTTTAATATACTGGATTGCATCTTTGCAGCAAACTCCCTTCCACTGTCACATTTCAAATAGCTTCTGTGAATTTTAACAGGTAGAATGGCTAAAAGGAAATCTGCAATATAAAATTTCACTAAATGTATTGATGGAGTAGTGAGAGGGCTAGGTGTTTACTTATGCCTCTTTGTTTTCAGTGAGAGTACATGCCTGCCTTCTTAAATGAACAGTCAAAGGTTTTTCTGGTCTTCCTAGGTATACAAAAAAATAAATGCCAGACCCTGCAGCAGTACTTAGCCCTAAGAACTGCTCATTGCATGACTTCACCTGGCCCAAAAGGCTGCAGAAACCAGGTCCTTCCCCGTCCTGTCTGGTTACTGGAAGGCTGGGTAGGGTTCACAGCTCGACTGGTTTTCACATCTGCCTTTTTGTCCTCCATGGTGGGGATGACCACCACTGGGATGAGAGTGCACTGCTCAAGTGTGCCATCGGAGGACATGACTTCAGTGTATCCGTCTTCACAACTGCAAGTCCTAGTCTGTAGGGAACAAGTGTTTTACAACGGGTACCGGAAAAAGAAGGATTTCTGTGAGCTATAAAGCATAACAACACAGATGACTGGAAGAGAAGACTGTTTTGATAAGTGCTAGCCTGGAGAGTACCTCTTCGTATATTTTTATGCAAGTTCATACCATATCAACTATTTAACATTTAATTGAAAAGTAGAAAATTGTGCGAGGTGGATTTTAACAAATTTGTAACTAGTAAAATCCCTGAAAATACTTTTTGTTGGCATAATCTTTGTAATCAAGAGATGTGTGGGAAGATCTCGTGGGAGTGTTCTATGCTCCAATGCAGTAGCACATACCTCACTGCAGTAAGCGTGGGGTTGGCTGCACGGTGGGTTACATGACCTGTCATCATCTGGTTGGCGCATCACTAAACAGCCCCCTGTAGGACAGAAAATCATATTTTCACATGGTAATACCTCACCACTGATGAAATTATTTGCTGCACTATATCATGGATGACAATCTTGTTGCTAGTTTGAATGTAAGATTCGTTTTTTTATTCCAAGGTGAAGGATAATTGGAATCAAGTTTTTTCTTATATGTAGAGTAAGGATAGGGCAAATGTATTTAATTCCATGTGCATTTCAGAGAACTAATATTTGGCAATGGAGCCTTTTGTTTTCCCCTTTTTTCCTTTGGTGAATTGCCCACAAAACCAATTTAAATGCTTTGTCGTACTCAAGAGAACAGATTTGGTTCTCTAGGGCCCTCCTTATGACTTACATTCTGAAACTGTGGCCACAATAGAAATAAAACAATCTTTTTTATTTATGTATTTTCCTATTGAACTGAAAACAAGTTACTCATCCTGTTTATGAAAGGATACCTGTTTTCTACTGCTACTGGGTCACTTTTACACATGCCTTTATGAATCAAGGCTTCATGGTTGTCATTTTACAAAGGAAAGCAGATTTATCAGTAAAGCATATACTGAATGTTACAATCCTGATGATGTTGTGAGTTTTAGTCTTTTCCCTTTTTATACAGACCTCGTTTTCATTTCTACAGCTTTATATATAGTGCAGTTATTGTTATGGACCAGTACACACAATCAGGATTTCACTATCACTTCAGCCAGAATGACTTTTAAATACATTTAGAATCAGTTTGGATTTACCTGTGTTTCCTTTTAGCTTATAGAAGAGGGATATGAATCACATTGTTTAAAATTTATACTGCTACAGGACAACTTATCATGCATCTCCCAAATTAATACAATTTTTATACTGGTGTGATATGATGATGAAATCCTGATAGCTGAGGTTGGCCACAACCATAGCAGATGCAGTTAGTGGTGGTTACGCAGATCCAAGTGTTAACGGGATGGCTGGTGAAGAACAAAGAAAACCCTGCTGGTTGCCATAAGTTTTCCCCACCCCCAGAAAAGAAAATCATACATCCTAGCATACAAATCACATGCCTGTGGGAATCTATGTAATAAAATATCAGTCATCCAAGGAAGCAGAAGAAAAGAGTTGCCTCATCGCCCATGGGAAATAACACCTTCAAGTAAAAAAGAACTATTCAGCACAATGATATTACGCAAGTGAGTAAATAGAAAAAGACCTTAAAATGCTAACAACAGTTATTTAATAATGTCTGAATTAAAATACACTACGTTGAATCCAAATGTGCAAGACTAAGGCTGACAAGACACAGTAATCAAAGATACAAGTTGCTTCTGAATCAAAATAGGTGATCTCAATTTAAATCTATCATGTATGTGTGTATATCACATCAATGAGCTCATAAATACTGTAGTTTATACAAAAAACTTTCAGAAAATGTACAAATGTAAATTAAAGTCTGGTTCACTACTGTATATTTAATGTAGAGACGTTCCCTCTACATTATGTATTTAATACAATAGAATATTTAAGTGCTGCATTTGAAAACTATCATAAAATCCATGAAAACTATAGTTTTGCATTTAACAGAAACATATGAAAAATACAGTTTTGTGTTGCATGGAGACCAATGATTGCATGTTCTGGAATATTCCATTAGTCTTCCTTTCAAATCAGAAAGTTATCACAGCTTAAAGCCACATACAAGAAAATTCTGAAAAAAAAGTGATACAATATAGGTCTGAGGTTTGTCTGCCTTGAAGGTCCTATTATGAAAAATTTGCCAATAATACACAGGCAAACATCATCTTTCCTAGAATTTATCACAAGGCTGTATTCAGTAACATCAGAATAAATTATTATTTTCATGTGAGTGACTGTGATTTATGAATATATTCTGATTTTAACATCTCAGACCCGTAATCTCCAAGATGCTATGTACTTCAAATCCTATAGGACCTTTAATAAATAATATCCTATATTTATCTCAATAAGAATAGTCTTTTAGAGTTTTACTTACCATAGAAACATCTTAGCTAAGCAGGAAGAAATCAAGGTTCATGAATAATGCCCTGTTGCAATTCTTGTGAACAAGATGTGCTTTAATAGTCCTACACCACAAGTTAAGATTTTCAAGAGACTTTGAGCTATTATTTCAACACCTTGTAAAAATAACACAAATATTTTATTTCTACTGTTACAAAGACAGTAGTGGTGGACTCCATCATGAATAAGTATTGTGGCAATACATAAATAACAGCTCCTCTGCTGTGACTAACCTGACAGCAGCTGGCATTGAGGATATGTTTACAGTCTCTGGGATTCTTTTACTATCACTTGGTCTGACACAAAAATTATTTCAATAAATGCATAACTCTTAGCTTAAATGAATCCCTATTGCCAATATATAAATCCATATAAATAGATTCATATGAAGGTTTTCTTCTGAGATCTCAGTTGTTCCTAATTCATGTTTTTTGTGTTTTGGCTTGCACAAGAAGTCACAACATCCCATAGCAGTCCATTATGTATCCTGATACAGATTTATGGCATTGAAGTAAAGAAATAAACTCAGATTAGCACATTTATTAAAATTTTATATTTTGTAACTTTAAGGAGATATATCATATATGGATAGTATTATCAAGCTGTGCAACTTTCTTGGCCTTTGTATAGGCACTGAAATGACCCGTAACACACAAAAATGTTATTTGTTGTAAGGCCTGAAATTTGAAACCCTACATTTAGAAGTGTAAAATGCCTATAGTAAAAAACCCCCAAACACATACAACGTAAAACATTTCAGGTCCACTACAGAAGACTGCAAATATAAATATTTATATTTACTTTAAGCATTGCATGCTGCATGATTTTGGAAAAGAAATATCTTTAATATGCAAAAAAGATGATTTTGATTCATACACCTGGAAGGGTTTATTTTCTTTCAGTTTGTTGGGAAAACACATTATCCACCTGTTTTCCAGGATTTTTTTTTTTTTTTTTGGTGTATATAAAATGAGTAGTTACCTGTGACGTTTAAACCATCTGACCTTTGGCACCACACAGTCCGAGAGGATCCCTTCCACGGACTAGCCATCCACTTGTACTCGTAGCATTGCCCATCTGCACAGAGAAAATTCACATTTCAAGACATTTAATGACAAGGTTATAGACTACCACAGGCAGCAGCCACGCTCCTCAGCTGACCATTCTCATTTTGTGGCCACACTCATTATCATTAATGGCTTGTATAGTTATTAAGTAAGCCCCTTTCTCCTTCATCCAGCACTGAACCACACATGTGGAGCTCCCAGGGTCTCCTGCACTTACTGGGCACATAGAGAATACATCAGATGTGTCTGAGACACTAACTAGGATTATGAGCAAGCCTAATGCAGTAAACGAGTAGAAGAAATGTTTCCAATAAGCTCATAATGGCTGTGGCCCATCTGTTGTGCAAAACTCATTTAGGGGTCAGGTTCCTTTCCTGGTAACCCTGAGCTTCAGCCAGTGCTCCAGTGCTTGGTGAAGTGGCTAGGGCTGCATCTGGCTTCATGTCTCAGCTCTTCTGTGCACATCTCCTATGGTCTGGGATGAATCATGGAGTCCTTCTGCACCTTAGCTCTCTATCATAAGTACAAAATTCCTTTTTGTCCAATCCGGCCTCTGAATGGGCAGGTTGGTACAGGAAACTACTTTTCTTAGACAATCTAGCAGTGGTAAGCATGGCTGAGACATTTTAATGATATTGTCATGCAATTGACAATTCAAAGGGTAGAAAGAAATCTAAATCTGGTTATGAATCAAAACTCAGAGATTTCTTTTTGTTAATGTTACTAAGCGTATAGGGAAATTCTTTGTTCCATATAAAAAGAAATGTCATTATTAAAAAAGAATAATTCTAGAGGGGTGGCATATGATAGTAACCACTTGAAAGTTTTTCTCTTTATGGTTGATCTATGGAAAACAACAATTTAAGTGCATTTCTGTTTATCAAATTTGCATTTGCCTAAAATCGATACCATGAACAGAAAGAAAACAAAATTATGGTTGTTCTATATTTTTTTTCTTACAGCCTTACATATATTTTGGTGCTTACCATTGCATGGTCTTGTTTCCAAAGCCTGTTCTGGACAAAGATGTTGATTCTCTAAGTCCTGGATGATCACTGCTCTAGATCGGACTTGTACTCCTCCAAACCCAAGATCCTCACCATTAAAACAGGTTAGCTGGCAAAGGCTCCATTCTGACCACTCTCTCAAGTAACAGTCCCCTGTCAAAGAGCAGTTTTATAAGATGAATGAGCATCGTATGTGAAGAGTTTTTTACACTGAATATGTCTTAAAAAAATGTCCCAAGTACAGTTTTTTATTTTTCCTTCTTTTTAGTTCCTTTCATCTCTCTTTTTAGACTTGACTCATAGTGTAGAAAAGATAACATTTTGATACTAGCTGAATGTCTGTGTCGTAGAAAATACAAAAAGGTTATACAAGGGCTATTTGCTCTAATGCAGTTTTAGTTTCTTGCCATATTCCCATGAGATCACGGTCATTATGAATCTCTTTGCAATGCTCTACTCAACGTCTAGATTTTTGTACATTTTAAGATATTGTGCACTCTATGTCTTATGCTAAATTTACTTATTTTTTTTCAATTCATCTTTGATGTCAGAAAACATTGTCTAGTATTAAGAAGACTAATTATTGCTTATATTTCTCTAAATAGATGTAGAAGCAACTGAGGGAAAATCCTTTGCAAGAAAGGGAAATGGAAACATGAATAAAATGTCTGTTCTTGCTATTTCATGTTAGGATAATAGACCTGTAGAATTCCATAGTGTAAAACCGAAAAATAAAATCATATTAATGACACTAATTAGCACAATCAGCTACAGAACATTTAAGGAATATCTGAGGCACAACACAAAGAAACCATTTTGTTAAAACTGCAGTTGAAAATGGGACTAGACTGTGCACAAACTCATAAATAAACCTCTTAGTTCTCATTATTTCAGTGAGAACGCCATTAAAAATTCATGCTACCTTGCATTATACTGGTGACAGATATAATCAGTACCGTGTTGACCGAATGCCTGATTAATGAAGGAATTTTATTTGCCAACCTTAGGAAAGCATGCAAAGAAATGAATAATTGACGAACTGATGTATACATAATAGGAAAACAAGAAGATTTTTGGAAACATTAGCTGGAGCGTATCATTAGCACATCCCCACAGGGCAGTTATTCTTGCTGGCTAAATGTGAGATTGTTGAAGAACAGGTCCCTGCTCAGCAAAATTTTTAAAGCAATCAGTAAGCAGCTATATTTTTTTTATAAAATTCACTAATATGAAAAGATAACTACAGTCTTTTTATTCTTCCAGTTTCCATTTAAGAAGTAAAAATACATGAAAATTATGAAATTGGAATGCTATGTACAAAGCAGTGATGGAAATCTCTCAATTTTTTATTAATTTCTATTTATTGAGACAACTTTACCTTCAGTCCAATCTGAAATGAACTGGGAAAAAAACTCTGGGAAAGAGGAGAGTTTCAAGAGAATGAAAATAGAGTACTGGTATGAAATAATAGCTGCATTAGAACTGAAGTAGTTTATCACCTCTTCCAAAGATTCATCATTAATAGCTACTAAACAACAGCAACGTGCTTCAAATTCTACAAGTGTTTGGAATGAACTGGAGGGTTTTTATTGGAAATTAAATGGCTCTTATATGCTCTTAATACTTCTCAGTATGAGCATGGTGGACCTGATCATTCATAACAGCTCCTTTAGATTCAGTTCACAAAGGCAGTAATAGAGGACATCATATCCAGAGAGCTGAACAACTAGAGGCACTCATGTTTTCTCAGAGATCACAACTTTAGTTTCATTTGGAATAGAACCGTTAAAGAAAAAAGTAAGATGCCTTAGCTTATCTTCCTTAGACACCCATAAAAGGCATAAAGTTTTTAGCCACTGGTAAAAGTATTAATAAAGTTGTTAGTAGTCTACATACTTAACGCTAATATTTAGCTGTAAACCAACACCCTTTCTTATGGAGTTAAATACAGGTTATTTCAATAGATTTTGTGGAAAAAATGCATTCATAGACACAATCTGTGACAGAGAGATCATGTCTATTATAAATGTAAAATCTAGTATTTTTTCTAATTGATTTATTGTCATGAAGCCACTCCTAAAAAGTAACTCTGTTGGTCATTTGATGGATTAATCCAATCAGTAAAGCAGATGGAAAAGATATAAGTGCCTGTGGCTAATGCTAGGCCCTAATAGCTATAATGACACCCAACTAATCTTGAAATACATTTATTTGAACAGCTTTGTTACCTGGACAAGGGAAAGTGCAGGTTTCCTCGAGTATTATCTTCTTATCGCCATCTATAACAGGCTCTATATCTCCACAGAATTCCTCATCTACTACTTTGCCAACATCTTCAATGGATCCATCATAAACCACACAGGAGATGTTCCTCACTCGTGTTCCCTCTCCACATTGAGCGTCCTACAGAAGGAGAACATTTATTGACTGATACTGAACAGAAGAAAGTGCCAAAAGACTAGATCTGAGTTACATGTCACTCTATCTCCGATTATTTTTCCTGAACTACTTATTCATTCCAATAAGGAGAAAAAGAAGACAAAAAAGAGTAGACATGGTTCATTACTTCTAAAACAAAACAAAAAAAACAACCAAAAACCAAACCCAAAATTTCTGGTCACTGTTTCTTGTTCTTTAAATTACAGAGCTAATTATGCCTTTCAATTGCAACCAGAGCAGTATGTCAAGTGAAGATATCTTCTAATATGTAAATATATTTCTGCTGATATTCTTTTACAATAGAAGTATTTAAATTATTAGCAAAGATGCTGCTCAGGAACCGAAGTTTACATTTATACGCTGAATATCTGTAAGATGTTGCATCCATTGATAAATATGAAATCTAAGGAAAAAACAAGCTTTAGTTTTTGTGTAAGGGGGGGAAAGCAAATTGTTTACAGAGTTGATAAGCAGGTATCCAGACATATCACAAATATGCCTGGACCCACACATTTCGTAACTTCTAAGTCCCATATGGCTTTTACCTCTACTTTGCATGTAGACCATTGGCCATATTGCCAACGATAACAAGGTTTTACTGGACAGGGTTTGAATTGCTCCATCTGAGAAGGACAAGGTCTCCCATCACCCTGAAATGGCTGATTTATGGTCCTTCTTCTGATCATTTTTCCTGTAACAAAAACCAGCAACATAAAAAAAACCAAAGTGGTTAGACTGATTTATTCCTCAAGATAGTTCTATTTTGCTGAAAAGTATTGTGTTTGAGTAAAGCAATTTTTTTCCAGATTTCACAAATTGAATTATAAAGCTGATCTGTTGGGTATTGTCTGTTGTGTGGATTAATATTTTCCAAGTCAGACACTTTGTATTCTGTCATTTGTTTGTAGTGTAAGAAGTGCAGGAGGATTAGGATTGCTCCTGTAACAGCAAACAAAAGCAGTAATTTCCTAGTTCAGAAGCCTGAATAAAAATATTATTTATGAATGTGACAACATATTTGTCCATTTCAGTGGAGACTCCTGCTCCTCATCTGGGGTTTGCTGCTAGAAGAGGCTAGCATGCTGTGTTCTTCCCTCAGCTAACACAGAATCATGTGTCCCATAATTGTCTGATTCCAGCAAACAGGAACTTGCAACCTTCTGCCACTGTGCAGGAAATATTACATCCAGATTTTGCAGAAGATGGAGGGTTCTTCACTTGGGCCCAAAGAGAACTAAAATACAACAGGCTTATCCAACAATTATCTCCTCTTCAACCATGAGTGATATGCTACCCAGCTTCCCTGAAATACAGGTTCTATTTCATATACTTATATAAACTGAAAGAGGAATTCTCATGCTTTAAAATATGCCAAAGGTATGTACTGACCTGTAAGGCCACATGTTTGGGAGCACTCTGACCAAGTGGACCAGTCAGAGAGCTGACAGTTCACAGGACATTCCACCACGCAGGACATATTCATTTGCCATGTCTTTTCTAAACCAAGCTGAAAGAAAGTGCTAAATGGTTAGCACAAAACTCCAGGCCTGTAAATTAAGTAAGACATCTAAAATTCACACTTCAAAACAGTCCTAATGCATATACTGATCTTTATATGCATGCATAAATCCCATTTTTATCAATCATTTTCTAAACTAGAACCTAGAAATGGAGGGCTTCTTCTCTAAATGTTACTTTTTGCAACACAATTTATGAAGTATTTTGAAAAAGGAATGCAAAAATACTGAACAGCTATTAATAAGTGATATTAGAAGCCAAGTTCAAAACTAGCAAAAGGAGGAGGATGAACATGTATTGGATATTCAGAAGATGTTGCAGATGCTGAAAGATTACAGGAGCTGATGAGAGACTGAGCAAGTGGAAGAGAAATATGAAGGTTTAAACACACAGAAAACCTGTCAGGCAAATGTTGTTCAAGAGCTGAAAACAGGTGGAAGCTGTGAAAGGAGTAGGTGGAAACTCTTGTATGTCTGTGCTTCTTACTCATTCCTTACTAATTCTATTATTCTATTCTATTCTATTTTATTCTACTCTATTCTATTCACCCTATCCTATCATCCTGTCCATATAAAGATATTGACATGACACTGACAATGATTTTTCAAAAAAAATATACATATTTGCACTTTTTTCTGAAAAATGTTGCAAAAATCCAGAATCCTCTAGCATCCATAAAGTAGAAGTTCCAGTTGCTGGAGAAGTCTGAGAGAAGAGGACAGAGAAATTAATCTCAAGACTCAAGTTTTCCCAAAAATATATCCTGTTTTCTGTTTTTCTCCAGGTATGATTCAGCCCAACACCCCCTCCCAGGGAAGAAAGAGTTTTATATTCATGCTCAGGACATGGCAAAACAACTACATGCTCCTTTGCTCTGATCCTGGACAGCTATTTCTATGTTCTTATAAAAGACATTTCAAAACCTATTAATTTTAATGACTGGAAAATTTAATGACATAAAACCAGCATTTAAGATTTTAGAAGGGAGATAAACACACTATTTCCTACTAAACACAAGCATAGAGCAATAATTAGGCACAACATTAACATGGCCTCCATAAATAAGCTACCACAAGTACTGAAAATATCTCCTCCTGATAGACTCACCAAGCTTTAAATTTGCATTTGCAGTACCACTTATTAGGACAGATGAGGGTTTAGACCTCTGTTTGCTTTTATACATCAAAGAATGAGTTCTTGGCTTTTCTCAGTGGTTCAGTATAGCCTTGATTATACAGCTATCACACACAGACAACACCTGAAACTTTTGGATGATCTGGAATTTGTATGATTAGAAAGCTAGAGAACCCTCTTTGAAGTCCATATTTGGGTCAAACCTTCTGAGCAAAGGCTTTAAAGCCTGCTGAATTGATTCCTGCCAATTATAGAAACATGACTGCTCTCTTTCAAGACTGGTCTTCTCAGCTGGTCTTTAGCAGCTCAAGAAGGAAAAGCCCAAGAAAGATATTAACAGTGAAGAGGAGAAAGCTGAAGGCCAGATAACCCACAGTGACCTCCTATTTGCATGTCTTAGATACTGAAGTGCTGCTTAAATAGATCTGGGGAACAACCGACAGGTTGTAGTTCAATAGCATTCATATATTCCTTTCTCATCCCTCTCCTTCCTTGAACTGGTGAACCACAATTCAATTGAAGAGCTTAGAAAATATTTGAAAAAGTGTTCAGTAGCTCCCTGACACGAAAGCTTTTGTTCTGGATGAGCTGTGGTTTCTGACTCAACAACATCAAGTACTGAAAGCTACCCCTGTGCACTCTGTGCTTCTGGTACACGCCAGGGGCAGCAGGCTGCCACGCCACCTGCATACTGCCACACCAGCATGCTCTTTAAATCCTGGGATCCACAAGAAGAATCTGTATTCATTTATGGGAATTTTTGGCATTAGATTAAACCCTGCTGCTGGAGGTTAATCATATAATCTGACATGCAGACTATTCACCAATAAACCAGCAAAGTCTGCTTTTTAATGCAGACATAACTGCTGGTTTCTAGGCTTTTATCATCTTTAATTAATGGTAAATGAATGAAAATAAGTCTATAAAAATGAATATGAACAAGATCAGCTTGCTTTAGGTGATTTGATTTTTAAATATTCAAAGAAAGAGAAGTCAAGTTCTGGTGATAAGTAGAAACCAAGTAATTCAGTATTACTATGCTTTGAGAGTTTGAGGAAAACTACATTAACATAACCAGGACTTGGAAATAAGCTCTGAAAATTGTTTTATCTTGGCAGCAATCAGGACGACTGCCTACCTTCTTTAGCTGATCAACCCAAATAAACACTAGATCATGTGGACACATAAGGAAATCAGAACACAGGTGCTCAGATGGAATGTTAGTATTTAACTCTGCTGATGCTCATACCTGGAGATGGTTATAGACAAAATTCAGCATGAAGGGGTTTTTTATACATGGCTTTATTACTTTCTTGAGCAATATATTATATAGAAACTCACTGCTATAATGAGTCTTAATTTCTTAGGGATCAGTGTAGGTTTATCTATTATGAGCTCTCTTCTTTGCATATAATAAGAAACATAATTCAGTAAATGAACCTATACATAAATTAAGCAAATCTTTACTCATACATCAAGTACAAAGTTTATAATAGCCCAGAGAAAATTAATTAGCTAGGTCATTACAAAATCACTTCATATTTCTCCTATTCATCAACTTTTCCAACCACATGCACCTTATTTTGAACTTCACTTAATATTTCTGCACCGCACTTATAATGCAAAAACACAGTGGAAACCCCCATCCTGAAGGATCATTAGGAAGAAGTGCATAGTATGTATTCACATTTTGATAATTTCTTGAATGCTCTCCTCTCATGACCTGCAAGGTCACAGAGTTGGCTTTCACATCTTTAGAGTGAAGGGTCTGTTAAGATCCGAACAGCTTGGCTTTCCTCTTAATCAGGTTAACAGGTTTTACTCCTCAGTTATTGGATCAGCCTTTGACCTTGTTGGACCACTGCTTACACATCCCTAATTCAACAAATAGTCTTAACTGTGTGACTAGGGAGTGGATCAGAGCTTTCTACAAGATGTATCTCTATATAATCTGTTGAAAAATCCAGGACATCACTGAAGTGATGTTTGTTGGCCAGTCATTTACAGCAAGTAGCTCTTGAGATATTATATTATTGCCCTCATTATTCTTCTGAATAATAAACATTAATTTCTTAAATGCAGAAAAACTCCAGAGGTTTTCTGAAATTAGATTTCAGTGTAAAACATAATCAGCCCTAAACATTGTTTTAAATCTTTGCTTAACAGGAATAATTTCTTGGGTTTATAGTAGAAGAAATATATTTTCCCATAAAATCAAATAAATCATTATTTCTTTCTGTTGAAATATTTATTTGGATGGATATTTTACATCATGTTTTGGTATTAATTAAACAATATTGCAACCTCTTAGAAATGAGAGACATTTCTTTCTCTTTTCTAACACATTAAAACGTTATAAAAAGCATTAATGCATTGCCTTATAAACTTCACAGCAACTTGCTGGTATGACTCAGGTAGTCATACCCTGCATTTTTTCTTGAAACCTAATTTTTGTGGCTATCCCACTCCTGGAAGTGTTCACAAGGCCAGGCTGGAGGAGGCTTTCAGCAAACTGCTAGAGTGAAAGGTGACCCTGCCCACAGAAGGGGCTTTGATCTTTAGGGTGATGATCTTTAACAACCCTTCCAACCCTAACCATTTTATGATTCTGTGAAATTATTAGATTTTATTAGAAACCCAAGAACTACGAGGGAAGGAGGAACATGTGACAGAAGTAAGTCTCAGCTGAAACCCTCTGCCTTTGATAAGAATTTATTGATTCAAGAATTCAGGATGTTGGAGGAAATTGGAGAAGTTTAGGTAGGTCAGATACACCATTATAAAATATAAGTCCAAAGCAAATAATGAGTTTCCTGACTCCCTCCACTTCTGATGAGATTCTTTTCTATGGGCACATCCTGAGAGTAGCTAGTAGCCAGAAGGGTCCTGCAGAAAAGCTGTTGGTGCCAAAACTGGTATGGGCCCCTTTCCCCCTTTGTCCCCCATTGCCAGTTATTTTATTTCTGATGCCACGGTGGTGGGGGAACAGCAGCTGAAACAACTGCAGTTACTTTCCATCAGAAACGCATGTACAATTGCCCTTAAAGTAGTACTGGTGCTGTTTTCATGGTTTTTTTCGTACTACAGACTCCATGCAATTGAAAGCACAAGGATCAACTCCCAAAATGTCAGGAAACTGGTGCTGTCAAACTGGAAGTTTGTTTGAACATTTGCAAAATGGCTCTTGCAAAACTTAAGGGCTCCTGTCTGCTAGCTAATTCTCCTTATACACTCCTACTTAATATTACATTCATGCTGCACGTTTTTTCACACTAGCCTGGGTATTTTTTGCATCACACAGCTGGATACAAGAAGTCAGCATTCAGCGCAGCTGCAGAATGCCACGTGAGAAATATTTTCCAACACATGGAGTAAATGATTGATACTGGCAGGTGTCCAAGACTCCATTCAGAAGCTGTATCAAATTAGAATTATGATTAGTATTCTGATTGAGATTTATTACTTTTATTCTACTTTATTAATTATTGTTTCTAAGTGATTTCCTTCAGGACATAATAATTAGCATATGTTCACAGAGGCACTTAAAAGTAACCAAAGGAAATAGTATAAAAATCAGTTGATGGCTCGGTTAATTTCAGAGGTACTTAACAATCCATGAATAGTGTTGCAAAACATATGTTGAAGATGCCATACAGCTCAGTTGGCTCAGTATTAATTAGCACCATTAGAAGGGAGCTTTCTCACAGGTACCCACTCACCTCTTCACAGTATTTCAGGTCAACTGATTTGCCATCACTGCGAACGCAATCGAGCATCCGCGTTTTGATGCCACTGCCACAGACAGCCTTCTCGCTGAGCTGACACGTGCTCCAGTCTGCAAAGGAGGAATTCATTAGCATTTCAGACTTTCAGATAGAATTCATAATGATCCAGTGTCCCACCTAATTCTGATGGCCTAAAACAACCCTCACAAGCAACTTTTATACATGCAAAGGCTCACGGAGCCCAGGTGCTACACATTTTTGGAAATGGTGATCTTTAGTGCAAATAGTCAATGTCATGGTACCTTCCTGAAAAGTGCAATTTGGTTTTGTCTGCATGGATTTTGAGTAAATCACAAAATTACACGAAAAATAATTTTCCTGGAGTTATAGTGTGCACATTTCACATGCAAATTCTCAATTTAATATTTTATCTGTATCAAACACCCTGAATCACTTTTTAGCACAAGTTTCACAGCTGTGTCTGGGTAAGAATGGGAAGCAGAAAAATCCATCCTGTAAGGCGAATGGAAATGAGCTGTAAGATGTGGTCCCAGGCTGTCACTAGAGCACAATAACACAAATACCTGTCACATTGTAGTCATAGTGGTAGCAGTTCTTGTTCAAAGTGCAGGCTTCTGCCTCAGTGGCAGCAGGACAGGGCTTTCCATCATCTGGTTGTCTTAGGCATTCAGCTGCCCTTTCACGGACACTACTTCCATTGCATGGCTTGAAAGTGAGATTGGAAACAGCTTAAATATTTTGGCACCCCAATACCTCTTTATGCAGCAAAACAACCTTTTAAATAATCCCTTCACAAAACACAAGTGTAAAATAACAGGTTCCTGCTAATGTATAAGAGAAACCCTTTTTTTTTTAACCTAACCTGGTAACACCATTCTATTTTCCTAACTAGTGCATATTTCAGTATTAGTACTTTGTAAGTATTTCACTCATAAACAGGATATTGAGATTCTCTTTTTCCAAATGCTATAATGTAGTGCACCAAAGCCTCTCAGAGGTCCCAAAACACTTTTTGGTGGCTGCTTTTTTTTTTTTTTTTTGTTGTTGTTTGTTTGTTTTTGGTTCTTTTTTTGACATTTCTTTTTGAAATTCCTGTTAGGAAGGAAGAGGAGAGGAGACCCAAAATTACTTCTCTATACTCAGTCTTGATCTGCAGACTTCGTCACTCGTATCAGGATAGTGACATTTTTAGTTCAGTGACTGTGCTGCTAGCAGAGGCTCAGAGCTAGGCTCAAAGACAAACTCACAAGCCACTGCCAAAGCTATTCCATCACACAGGAGGCACCCCATACTGGGAAGAGTGACCACTGGGCACATTTTAATCTGTGTTCTGGAAGAAATTATCTTAATGGAAAGTACTGTCACACTTCATTTGAAGCCAACACAAAACAACCCTAAAGATGACTATATATAGATATTTACAGGTGTTTTCAGTTCAGCATCTTTGCAAAACACATCATACATACACTTTTAAAGTATCCTCCCAAAACTATAAATGTGGCACTTTGGTATACTACTTACCAAAGAGCACTGAGACCACGATCCCCATTCAGACATAACACAGTCCTCAGGACATGGCAACGTGCATTTTCTAGCACCAAGTGGCATATCTTCGGGATCACACAGATAGTCTTCTACTGTGTCAGAAGGACCATCCACAGTGTTTAGCATGCACCTGGAAAAAAGAACTGCACATAAACTTCACTTGCCATGGATTTCGCATGGTTTGTGTTCTACAGTATTCTGAGGCATTTTAACATTTTGTCAGCACATAAATGAAATAAGTATTGATCTATGAATACCCAAGAAAAGCTGAAGAGTCAAAAACAATCCTTGTTTTCACAGATGACAGCAACATAAAGGCATGCACATAATTTAGACAATCCCTATCAGTGATTTCCTGGGAGCCCCTGGGCAGGTGATTTGCTTGATATTAGCCAACCTCTAAACCAGAATAATGCAAATCATCTATGGTTGAGACATATTTTGCACATACTTCAGCTGATAACTTTAAATCCAGAACTATTTAAACTTCAAAAATTTTATATTAGTATTAATTCTTAACTTATACAGATGCCTTTTAATTACCAATAGATTAAATTAGGAATCAAGGCCTATATCCATAACAAGTAGACAGAGTCATATTGCACTCCCTGAATCTATTGTGATTTATATCAGCCAGTCTCCAGCTCTGGACTCAACACTAGGCATTACATAGAATTACATCAAATTAAATACAGCCAAAACTGAAAGTGAAGGTTCTTTAAAGTGAAGGAGGAGCAATATTGTTTTACCTGACTTTCCTTGTTTGAACACCTTCTCCACAATTCTCTTTTAAGTCCACGTTGGTCACCTTGCAGACACTCCAGGGCTCAGTTACCCATATGTACTGGCTGCAGTCGCTGTGGCAGGGGACTACCTCATACACCTGGAATCCACATTCAGTGTCAGTTTTAGTGCACACAAAGTAAGATAAACATGCAAAAGCGATCATACAGAAAAAAAACATTAATGCTCTTGGGAAGAATAAAAAACATTAACTTGATGATTTAGACACTATAGTAATAATATAGATTAAATACTTGCTAGAAAACTACTGAAATAACAAAAAGACAGAAGTTATTGAATGCTGGATTCTCTGGTTTTCTCTGTCACTAAGCCCATGCAGTGCATTTCCACCAAAAACATAAAAGAACTAACATAAAGTCTGTAACTAGGCTAGCTTATGAGTACAGAATTTTAAAAAATGCTGTCAAAACTCTGCTAGCACTTTAGCTCTGTCCTTCATAACTCTTCTCTATGACTCCATCCCACTATTATATTATTATCCCACTTCTTTAGTTGTGGGGGTTTTGTATTGCTAAGGAGAGGTGACCTCAGGAGAAATTATACCAATACATATTGATTCATTTTATTTATTCATTGTGTATGCTTAAAATCACTCTAATGTATTTGTGTACCAAAACCAGTATTATGTTTAGATTTGAATGCAAATTTTTACATGGCATCTCATATAGCAATTTCTACAGTGTTCCATGTACTGACTCAAACCTACATACAAAAAATGGGACAGACAGGACATGTTGAGCAAGAAGCACACATTGAGCTTAAATCTCTGTTTTATAAACACTTACCTGTGCCTGGAGAAAGTATTTTCATGAACCCAAAAGAAAGGAAAGAAAAAAAAAAAACCAAAGAGAAAAAGTTAGAATTATTATAGTGAAGCATAGGTATTTAAATAGCATAAATTTAACTTTTATTATATACATTATTCTGTTACTTCTGCAAAGAAAAAGGGCATTAATTTTTTTCTCTTGGACCTCCTTTGCAGTCATAAGGTAATTTGCCTGGAAGAAAATAAACTTTATAAATCACAGTTGGTGGGAAGAAACTGTATATTACCTAGTCTCTTGGTTTGATGGTTTTGCCTGTAAGGAGCATCAAACTTTTACACAGTAGGGAATCCAGTCTCTCTTAGGTAAGAGAAAATCCTCAGTGTTTTTGGAGAACACTGGACTTCTCTATCAATTGAAATTCTTCTGACAGCATTAAGTGCAATAGATTCAAAGAAATAAATGGAACTGTCAATTCTCATCCTTCCAAAGTTCCTAAATCCTTCATGGAATATCTTAATTATGCATAAATTACTTAAAGCCCATTGCCTTGAAATTATACCAGTTAATTTGACACATTATTCTAGGTATCAAGTCAGCACAACTAAAACTACTGGACAGTCTAAGACATGTCTTAAACAAGTTCTTGGTTTCTTTTCAGCATCCCTTCTTGTGTAGAAAAAGATTGCTGATGGTTTGATGGTTAACCTGCAACAAAATACCACAGAAAATAGAATGCCTTGAACACTAAATGTGTAGTCTGATATCATATCACTATTCAGCTGATCAGCCCATGCACAAGACCACCTGCATAGCCAACATACTTGGGCCTTCTCTGAACTACATTAACAATAAAAGACATAAAAATGTATGGTGAAAATGCTTGTTAGGGAAGGTACTGGACTCTGTTAAAAATTTGTTATTTAGAATTCTTCTCCAGAATTTCCAAAATGAGAACAGAAAAGCCTTAATTCCAGGAAATGTCTATATGTCTGACCCTGGTTAGCATAAGAAGAAATACATAAACCCCACACACTCAACAGCTTTTGCAGTAACGTAAAATTTAGATGTCTTGACAGAAAGCCAGAGGAGGACTTTATATTGCATTGCACATGTGGGTGGTGTTCTCCTGACCCTACTGGCATTTTTGTAGCTATGACTGCAGGCCACAGCAGTTGGGTGGTACAAGAATTGCATACCCATCCTCCTACTGATGAGGGGGAAAATAATGCTTGTAATCAATGAAAAGATGGATGTCCCTAATTTCTCGAACAGTCTCAGATTAGTCCCTTCATTGGAAACTTATGGCCATTGACGTGATTTTATATCAAACCTGACTCTATTATTACTGTAATTATGATGTCTTTTAGCCTACTGAAGTGAGCACTGAGCAAGCTTTATTCAGCTGGAGTGTGGCTTGGGAGCCATCCTGGCATGCATGGCCCAGGAAGAAAGACGTTGAGTGACACATCCAGCTTTCACTGCGCTCATCCTTCCTCACAGCACAGGCACGCATGTCAGCCCTGAGAGACACTGAACTTCTTAACAAGGTCTTAAGCATTTTATTTCAGTGTTTCCCTAGCCTTACTATTAGAAAGTTTTCCCAAGGCTTAACCCAAATCTGCTTGCAGCAATGTAAGCCCACTGCTTTTTATCCTATCCATGACGGCCATGGAAAATGGATTATTTCCTCCCTCTTTGCAACAGCCCTTTTTGTATGTACTAGCAGAGTGCCAGCATTCTCCCTCCCATCTCCCATTCCCTGGGCTAGACAACGTGTTGTAGTCTTTCCCCAGGTTCATAATTCCTAGGTGGCATCTTACAGCATAGTTCTGCTGTAAATCATAGTGCATATACTTGTGGGCACCAAAGATCCAATTTTACCACTATGACTCCTATGTATGCAAATAAGAATGTTACATACATAAGCAATAAATATGTAACTTCAACACATTATATTGAATAATTACTGAATGATGACTCAAAAAAGTCAGTTCTTTTCTATCTGAATGGTGGATCACATTTAGTTTAAATAGCTAATTCAAAATTGGAATATCTGTGCATTTCTCTGCATGTTTCTCAATTGAAAGGGAATGTATTTAAAAATGAAAAAGACAGGCTTTATATTTTTCAACATCTTTGTATTATCTGTGGAATGTCCTTCTCATGAAAGTACTATATTTCTTTACAATAATTACACTTTACAAAATCAACTATTATTTGTCAAAGACCATGTAACCACAAATCAAATGAGTCAAAGTACCGGCAGAGGGCAATAGTGCTGCATAAAAGTGACAAACAGACCTCCAGCAAAATCACCTTTGATGCAGAAAAATACAAGCCTATTATGTACGACATGAATATTAAAGAAGGAAAAAGACTTTTGTATAGACTATAATTTGCTCCTATTGAAACACGTTCCTCCTAATTTAAAGCATATTTACATGCTGACCCAAATCCAGCAACCCTCATTCTAGTTCGTATTTTGTTAAAGTAGATCACAAACTTGGTTTATTAGCTGCGGTTAAACACTTATGATTTTCTAAATTAGAACTAATTACATCCCCTAAAGTAGAAAATTAGATCAACAAGCCATTTCATTTTGTTCTAGCAAAATGTCAATAGGATAATATTAAGTACATGCATTTTTATTCAAATGTAAATTGAGAGCACTTTTTTTTTAAAATCTTTGAATATTTACAGAAAAGACCATGTGGTTGTTTAACATGCCTCTGCAGACTAAATTAAATTCAACAGTAATATGAATATAAATCAACTTTGAAGAGCATAAGTTAATCGACAAGGAATGTTTTTCCTTTCTAAAACTCTCCAAGGAAAGAAACTTCAGGTTTAACTTGGGCTAGTGCTAAACTTGGTCTCAAAGACTAAATGCTTGTTAGCGGTCCAAGCATTCCAGCACTCCCAGGGTGCTCTTGGATTACATTTTATGGTTTAGTTTCACTTGAAGAGGACTCAGACTGTATGGTCAGACTGCTCCATACTGCAATAGCAAGTGCAGTTTGTGGGACAGCTGGGAGACTGACTTCAGAATTGCATTTGTGACTGAACTGCACTGCCAGGACAAGTGTACCCAAGAAGGTCAAGCTCCAGCTTGAGGAAAACCCACTAAGGGACACTGGGATGACTCTTTGAGAGTTTTGTTTTCTGATCTAAGATGGTCAGGGAGTGACACTAAAAATCTTGCCAGTTTGAGCAACTGTGATGAGACATTTTACCCCCTGTCATATACTAGAAGATTAGAAGATTAGAAGGGACATTTAAAGATCATCTAGTTCCAAGACCCCTACCATGAACAGGAACCTTCCACTGGATTAGTCTTCTCAGAGCCCCATCCAATGAGGCTTAGAACATTTCCAGGGATGAGGCATTCACCACTTCTCTGCATAACCCATTCCAGAGCCTCATCACCCTCTGAGTGAAGAATTTCTTCCTAATGTATAATATAAATCTGCTCTCAGTTTGAAGCCATTCCCCCTTGTCCTGTCACTGCATGGTTCTGTACAAAGTTTCTCTCCATATTTCTTGGAGAATCCCTTCAGGTAGATCTTTGAAAACACAGTCTTCAAAATCTGCATGTAAGCATGTTTTATTGTCTGCAATCTGCAGTTCACAAAATGTGCAAAATTCTTGCAGATGAGGAAGTAACTAAGACAGATTCTTTACTGCCTGAGGAACTCTACACCAACACATACTCCTTCTACCTCGATCTGCTCCTTATGTTATAGTGTTTCTCTACAACAAAAAAATACAGATAAAAGAGTTATTTGAAGTTTGGGAAAAGCTATATCAATAATATAAATATAAATCAAATTACCTGGTTGATGTGATCTAGCTTTGGACAAGGTCTTCCACCATTGTAGGGCTTTTCACGAAGCCATTTAGACCGAACCTTTACCCCACTCCCACAGGATTTACTACAGCGAGACCAGTTGGACCACTCACTGAGCTTGCAGTCTGAGGGACATGGAATAATACAGGCTTCCTCAATATACCCTGCATGAAAGGAAAAGAAAGTGAAATCTCTTCAGCATGTCAGTTTGCAACTTCTCCCTGAAGCCCTCATCTGCTTCATTTAGATTCTCCAAAGTTTGACTTGACAGGACTGTGTGAATAGAGAGATTTCTTCATCATTAGGGATAAATTAAATTCTGCAGAAAATTGACACATATAGCTGGAGACTGTTAGAGTAGCAGCTGAGCATCCTCACTGCTCATCATCCCATCTGATTAGGATTCACACTCTCCAGATTTCAGCATTCAAACTTTCTGACAGCTACAGTGTAATTGACACTAACCATCTCTTGGCGGCATCATTCGTACTCTGTAAAATGATATGTGTAATTTTTTAAGGAAAAGAGTTTTAATTTAAGGGTACTTCACAAGTGCATCAAGTAATTCAATTGCAGTTGTACATCAAAAATCCAGCTGAGAAGAAATCCATCTCGCCAGCCTAAGGGAACTTAACACCTTGTGACCTTTCTAAGGCTAGAAAGAGAGAGTAGCCTGCCACATTAATGATCTGCTGATTAACAACCATCTGCCCCCAGTAGCACACTGAATAATTGCACTGAATGGAAAAGCAGATGTTTGTTTTGGTTAAGTCATTGGTCCAGAGAGGTTGGAAAGGGGTATGACATGGTCTGCAGGGAGTAACATGAGGCCTCAATTCACTGAATAAGTAAAAATGTCTTTCTTTCAAAAGCAACATATGCCATAGCTCTACAATATGTGTAATTTATTCTGATATTTAAGGGAGAAGCTATAATACATCAAATAAAAAGCTGGCCTTAACTGCATGTTTACTACAACTATATCCTGAACTCTCTTCTCAGTTTCCTGTGTCCGATCTGCAAAGTATTTACCATTAGCAAATGTTCACTTTACAGATTAAAAACCTTGGTGGATTTAAACTTGTATTAAAATATTTCATTAAAATATTTAATGAAAAAAGTTGCAAAATTGGCACATACTTGGTTACGATCATCCTCAAAAGATTGCCGTGGTTCACTAGCCAATCTAGGCACTAGGTTCAAATGTTTCAATTGTTTGTCAGATATATAGAATTTTTTAAATTTGAAGGGGATCAATCTTTTCATCAGAGCTGAATTATTTTTAACCTATGCTTCTAAGTAAAGTTGTTCTGTCTCTTCTAAAAGGAACCAATAACAACCAATATCAAGATTTGTAAAGAATCAGACCACTTAGATTTCAATTCCATATACCTATTTCTAGTTAATTTATTGGTTTAGATAGAGTTAATTTGTTTTAGATAAAGAAAATAATTTTAAAAAACCCCATACAGTAGCATTTATAGTTTTTTATTGTCAAATTCAGGTGATGTTTTTATTTTGTATGGTTTTACTTTGTTTAGAAGTGCTAAATATTTAAATAAAGAGCACATCCTGAACTTGAGTCCTGTGAAACTACTGCTCACCAAATGCATCTTCCTGAAAATGACTAGAATATTATTACCTTGAATTACAAGCATATTTATTAAATAGCTGTTGCTATTTGAGCAAACAGTTCAGTGAAAGTGTATGAAAGGGACACCGTGTTAGACAAAATAAATTTGGGAGGATCACATCCATGCCTATAAGAGATGCTGACATAGATTGCCCTGCAGTAATAGATGCAAAATTGATTACGTTTCACCTTACCTGACATCTCTGAGTCCTAGAAATTTGATGCACTAATCTATCTCAGAGCTCCATCCTGCACTGAAATTTGATTACATAAATACCAAAGCCTGTACTTCTACCAGAAATGAGCTTTCAACAAGTCCTCTCAGGTGCTATAGAAAACCATGCACTCACACAATCAGGAAGCTACTGAATGAAAATGGAAAATAACCAAAACAAGTTAAAAGAAACAATTCCCTTCAAACAAGAAATGTTTAGTGATATTTATTGTCCGATAGAACTACATGAATATTTCATTGCTCTATGAAATTATCTGTGATTCTGAAATGCTGCTTTTACTTTCAACATAACTTCTAAATACTTTTTTTCTGAAGAAATCTTTCTACTATAACACAGTTATGTCATTTACCATTTGTGAAATTTCTATCTCTGGTAATTAAGGACTGAAAAATCCAAATTCAAGTTGTTTTGAATATATTGTAAAGCAGGTAACTTGAATTAGTACAGGCTGCTTCAGGAAGACTTTATTTTAAGATCCATAGACCTCTGAGATTGTTTTAGTAACACTCAAAGGGATCTTCCCAGTCTTTGCCAAAATCTTCTCTGGGATACCATGGTATTTTGGCATTTTGGTAACACTTCATAGCCTACAAAAAGGAGCCTGTGTGGAACGTACTAAACTAAAATAATTGACAAATTAGAAATTATTTTGATTCATTTCCCTTCAATTCATCCAAACAAGGACAAAAAGTTTAACAACATATTTAGAATCTTGCAGACAGAAGTTGTATCAAATACATTAGACTATATGCAGTTTCCAGGTAACATTTTAATTAACCTGAGCTATATTCCAAGTGATTCCATAAATTATAAAATGGAAAAAAACCATCAAATTCCATAAATTATCAACATTTAAATTACCCTGACCTATATTCCAAGCAATTCCATGAATTATCAAATGAAACCAAATCACTGGAGCAACCTTTATACTATCCATGAAATATCAACATTGAAGTCAGCCACTAGAACTGCCTTACCATAGAATGCAAAAAAGGTAAAAACAGCATCCTACTACAGATATAGAGTCTTATTAAGAGTTATAGCATGGAAAACTGCAACCTGCTGATATTTTAATGCATTTTGTAGAGGATGCAGTGGTCCAGAAGACACTACCCACACAGCCTATAATGAAAAAATACTGAACTGCAATATCCTATTGGGTCCTTAATCCTGCAAGCTTCATGGAATGGCTTCTGTTCACCTTACAGCTCTTTCCTGTGCCATCTCCATGATATCTGGCCTATGATGGTCTCCTCTCCCTCCTTCCTATTTTCTTAGAAAAGCGTCAAGACCCAAACTCCACATATGAAAGTTAAACAGCTGAACAAAAAGAATGGAAAAGACATGTTAAGAAGAGAACAAGAATGGAGTCAGCCAATGAAAGCACCAAAAAGGAGCTCTAACATGGTAGGATGGCTTGGAGATTCTGGAAGTGTGGAGCATTTTTGGAGAGCAGAGAGAAAAACTTTTATTCTTTGTAAGATGCAAGACAAGCATTTAAAAACTCCTAACCACTGGTATACTAACACTATTAAGGGGGTCCACAAAGGAATTTCACAGATTCTCCAAACAGATGGAAAAGAAAAAAAAATGAAGAACACAAGGATTAGATTATATATTAGAAAAATGTTCTTCACCCAGAGGGTGGTTGGGTACTGGAACAGGATCCCTGGGGAAGTGGCCACAGCACAAAGCTTGACAGAGTTCAAGAAGCATTTGGACAATGGTGTGACTTGGGGTGTCCTCTGCAGGGCCAGGAGTTGGATTCTGTGATCCTTGTGGATCCCTGCCAACTCAGGATACAATTCTGTGAAGTTACATTTCATGGCAAAGAGTCAGAATTCAAAACAACAGAGGAAATGCAAAACAAGAGGGACTAAGGAGGAACAGGGTAAGAAAAGACAGTGAGAGGGGAGAGGAAATAAATGGCTCAGGAAGAGAATTTTAAGGAGACACTACATGAAAACAAAGAAAGAGGAGAAAAGAAACAAACATCCTGCCAAAAGTAGTATCTTGGTGAAGTACAAATAGAACAAAATGCTCTCAAGAGCTTACGCTGGCATTCTCTGGCCAGAGAGTGAAATGTATCGAAGAATGTTTTCACAAATCAAAACAGAGGACAAAGGGAAGAAATACAAACACTGTGCTCTCTGATTTGCATTCCATATGTAATTAGTATGCAGAATGAAAATGACCTTGTTATATCTGACATCAAAAAGTTTTTGGCATATTCATCCCTTGGCATATATTTCCTCTCAGGGGCCTCAGTATTTTGCTCAACAGACTATTTAACATTTAGCTATTCTACTGGACTCCCTTAGAACTGAGGAAGAAGCACACTTCAAATTGCCTACAGAGAGCACTTCAGTCAAGAAAGAAGAGTCAAATTAAAAAAAGTAAATTACTTGTTGAAAATTGCTTGTTCCATTCCACTTACTACCTATCAAATGGTACTTTTCAGGAAAAGCTTCTCTGGACTTGTCATCACTTCAGATGCCTTCCTTTGTGTATGAAGTCAGCATATCTTTTAGGGTGATTAAAGATTATTGCTATGAACTCTGTAAGTTCATAGCAATCCTCCCTCAAATGCAGGAAAGCAGATCTTTGGGAACTTTGAAAAGTTTGCACTTGTTCGTTGTTGTTGTTTTTGTTAAATTTCAGATGGTTTTACTTGTAAACTGTTCACACTGCAAAAAATTTAGCAAGTGAGAAGACAGAATGTTGTTATATAAAAAAATATTGAAATGCAGACACCAGAAATACTACATGCAAATGAGACTGGTGATGCAGATACATAGTTTCTGACATGAAAAGGATGTGAAGGAGCCATTTTTAAACTTTCAGTATTGTTTTCAGTTTGATCAAATCAGCCTTGAAAAGGTGCTGCTTGTGTTAGACCAACCTTGTGTACGTCTTAGTATAGAACCTTTTTACAGAAACAAGCCTCTAGTGTGTAGGTAAGCATCTCTGTGGTGAAATGTCACCCAATTGTATCACACAGACTGGCTGGTTAATATAATTGCACCAAAAGTCATACCAGAGCTTTGAGGTTCAAAGAACAAGCAAGAAATTACCAAGGTAAAACACAGTAGATGCAGAGAGAAGGAGAGGTGTTGGAAAGAGTTGCCTATATCTAAGGGCCTGTGTCTGCTCCCAGGACAGTAGTTTCCCCATTATTTCAGCTCCTATGAGGCTGTGAAATGGGCAGTTGTCTGTTATGAGTGAGAACATGGCTATTCTGTCATTAAAGATTACTGAACCACAATTTAACAAATGGCCGTGCACCACTAGGAGT